AGAAAAACGGGGGGGGGGGGGGGGGAGGATAAATGCAGGAAACGTTCAATGGCATGGAGTCTCCACTCATCCGCCCTCACAGGTCCTCTTTAAAGATGGACACCAGTGTCTTATCTCACATTCCCTAAGAAGGATTAATAATGGGACATGAGCATGCGATGATCTGCGACACATGTGCTACAAGAAGAGACTCCGTTGACTTCATTGTAACCAGTAGAGTCCTGATGGTAACAGCGCGCACACACAGCTTCCAGTGTCTGCGGGGGACTCGCACTGGCCGTGTCCCGTCTTCCAAGACACACAACCCAGAACTAATAGGATTGACTCTGTGTCATTAAATCCCCTTTATTTCGGGCGGATTGGTTTCCAAGCCACGTCCGAGCGTCGTACCCAACATCTATCATCGCCTGAGGAATGCAGTCCGCTCACCGCCATTGCCATACATCTGGCTGGCTGCTCCCGCAGAACTCCATCAGGGAGATGAAAGGTTTCTGGGCGCCCCGAGTTTTACACCGCAATGTGTGAATGCTCGTGATGGCCACGTAACACGCTTCAAACATGCAAAGCAACAAACGGGTACCGCATGGAACTAGGGTTGCCACCATTTCTTTAGGCCAAACACTCTACAGACGCATGGAATTTTTTTTAGGGGATAACATACAGGAGAGAGCGTGGAGAGACCGCCAGGAGAGAGAGAGAGCGAGGAGGGACAGCCAGGAGAGAGAGAGGAAAGACAGCCAAGGGAGAGAGAGGAGAGACAGCCAGGGGAGAGAGGAGAGATAGCCAGGGGAGAGAGAGGAGAGAGCCAAGAGAGAGAGGAGAGACAGCGAGGGGAGAGAGAGGAGAGACAGCGAGGGGAGAGAGAGGAGAGACAGCCAAGAGAGAGAGAATAGACAGCTAAGAGAGAGGAGAGACAGCCAGGAGAGAGAGAGAGGAGAGACAGCCAGTGAAGAGAGAGGAGAGACAGCCAGGAGAGAGAGAGGAGAGACAGCCATTGAAGAGAGAGGAGAGACAGCCAGGAGAGAGAGAGAGGAGAGACAGCCAGTGAAGAGAGAGGAGAGACAGCCAGGAGAGAGAGAGGAGAGACAGCCAGGAGAGAGAGGAGAGATAGCGACAGTGCCCCACTAGACCACCAGATGATATAAGGGACAGCTTCCAGCCAGCTACTAATCAACTGTGATGGGGAGGGGTTATTTTTCCAGTAAGCTATTGCACATCAATGCTGTGGGGAA